AAAGCTGCTGCTGTTTTCTCTCAGGTAACGACACAGGCCTCTGTGTCACTGATCAGGGGGATTCTGCTGACAATGGCATGAACTGCAGCTGGACCAGAGTTTCTGAACTGTGCACAGGTACTTAATAAAAACACAAATCCATTAAGTATATTTACGATGCTTCTCTAACACTATCACACATTTTGTTACAGCTGTGGAGAGTGCTGCTGCCAGTGGAGACTCAGGTAAATTGAGTCATCTGTGTCTCAGCTGCCACTTCCTGCCCCTCTCCCTTCTGTCTTACGTCAAACACAATTCTTCTTTACACCCGGTCGTGTTGATGCGATGGCAACGGAAACACTGTGAACTTTGTTCTCGTACAGGTGGTGACAGCAGCTCCGACTCAGCCTCTGAGTTCTCCCAGGCCAAGTTTGACATGTCCAGCTTCATAGGTGGGATCGTACTGGTTCTGTGCCTGCAGGGTGGCGGCTTTCTCGCCATGCGCTTCCTCAAATCCAAAGAGCAGAGCAACTATGACCCCATGTGAGTATGAGCATGTAGGTGTAAGAGGCACCAGCTGAAGTGAGGCACCAGCACCCCCTGGTGGCAAGAATACTTTACAGTATGCACTGTGCCTTTGTAAAATCAAGCATGTCCCTGGACTTTGTTTTAACATTTTACAATGTAATGTGCACTTTTCTTAGAATTTCATGTGTTAGACCAACATGCAGCATGTTTGAGAAGTGGAAGGAAAAGGCAGAAAATGTCAGTCAATAAAATGCATCATAGAGATCAAGGGACACAATAGATATATTAGGGATAAAGGTGTGAAGAAATGTTTGGGAGGATTAGAATACCAGAAGTTTTGAACATCTCAGTGCTATGGCCTGTGCTATCCACAATCAAATAAAGGCAGGAATACAACAGCAAACATGACTGTGGCACGAATCCACCAGGCACAGTCAGCATCCGAAGCTCATAATCTGTCCATGGGAACATTTTTATTTTCACACCTTACAGCAGTGGCTCTCCTGGAAAAGTGGAAATAAATTGTTAAAAGAAAGCCATCATAAGTCATGTGTAAAATTTGCCATAATTAGAGAAGAGTAGACAGAAGATGTGCAGAGGAAAGGTGCTGTGGTCACAGGAAAATTGGACAACATGCAAAAGGTGGGATTTCTTAGATCAAAGCATATTTGGACATATTCATGCATCTCATTTCTTCCATTTCACAGTTTGGTCAATCCATGACATAAAATTCCAATAATTATACCTTGAAATTTGTGGTTGTAACCAGGCAGAATATGGAAAAGCTCAAGGCTTACAAACGCTTTTGCAAGGCACCGGATATCACTCTTCAGTCTCGCAGACCTTCAATGTGTAACGAGTCTGGTGACAAACTCTTATCAGTCTGCTTACAAATTGTTCTGTCTTTGCACAGAGAGCAGCCACAGTGAGGACAAGATGTTTGAAGGGCAGACAGGATGGAGGACAGCAGCAGCAGCAGCGGCGGCGGCAGCAGCAGAGCGTGACTCATCGAGTAATGACGACAAGATATTTTTGTGTTGTTGTTTTTTTTTTTTGAGCCCCTGTCATTTTTGGTTTGGTGCCCTTTATAAACCCCTGTGGGATGGCCGTGTTTAGATTTCGACTATATTTATGCTTGCATTTACAGTCCATCAGTGGCTTTGACACGTATGCTGTGAATTATGCAGCACAGCTGTGGAGAAGGGGTTACATAATTTTGTGCAGACAGTAGGTCAGAAAAAAAAAAAAAAGCTTCACAGATACTCTTGTTCATAAAAGAGACAGTTTCGTGTGCGACATTGCAATAAATATTTTCTTGCTTTACAGTGGAGCTTTAATGTTTGTGAACTGGTTTTTATTTATTTATTTGTTTGTTTCATTTATAATTTATCATCTTGGCACATTACGAGTTAGCACAACTGATTTCAGAAGACAGGACATTCCCAGGCCTTTGCAAACTCCTTTGAATCGAGAAACTAATTGGAAATAAAGTTAGGCTTTCAACAGTGACTTAAGGTTTGTCATTCTTGTTAAAACTTAACAATCATCAAATTCTTCATTTTATGTAGAATTGTGTTACGTTGTTAATTTTACTATTCTGGTTTTCGTAACGGTGACTCAGTCTTCCTGTTTCCAATGCAAAACAATAAAACACCAAACCCTGATACTACCACCGCCATGCTGAGATGCTGTTCTTTTTTATTTTTTTTAAAACAAACATCACTCTCAATCTGATCTTTTTCACCTCACATCCCTCTTACATTACCATTTAAACTCGCTTACTTCTATTTAATTCCTGTCAAGAAACCATCTTTGTACTGACTATCTATTTTTCAATGTATTTTTTTAAGAGTTGTGGGGGGAAAAAAACAGTAAAACTTCATACTTCCCATTGACCGTTCTTATCACTTGGTGATGTTCTCACATGCTAATGCCGGTTCTGGGGACAAATACATGACTCGTCTTTCTGTGTTTTCCTTCTTTTTGCTTCAATCGACTCAGAATAATCACCTCTCAGTCCTTTGTAAGGATGCAGACAGCAGGTAAATTTTATAGATCTGTAACTTCATGATGATATGATAAAGGGATGTCATCAGTGGTTTTGCCAGCCATAAATAACAATCACGGTGTCCCTGTGTAAGTCAGGGTGAGTAGGTAGCGTGGTGGAGGCCTGCAGGGGAGGAGCATTGAGGCCAGTGTGCCAAGGCTTTACAGGCTTGAATAAACCCACACAAAAAGGTTTTCCCAGCTGAGCAGACGATGGCTCCTTTCCAAGACTGTTGACAAAGAACAGGACTGAACACAAGCCTTTCTCACTCCGAATCTGCCCCTCCCCCCCCCTACACACAAACACTTTTCTACTGTGTGAAAGGGAAGTCCAACAAACACCAATAGTTAATGTACAACCGATCAGTCTTTCCTCCTTTCGTAAAAACATGAGGAATCACTCGTACGAGCAGGTGTGTACGTGTGTGCTAACTCACTATTTGCTTAATAGGTGTGGAAAACTGCAGGGAGACGAGTTAAATCCCACCTCCACCCTACCATTTGGCAAAACATCTGCGTGTGTGTGTGTTTGTGAATGCATGCATGTGCGCGCGTGTGTGTGTGTGTCATGTCACCTTGCCAAATATCCGGTTTCAGAATAACTTATTTAAAAGGAGTTCCTTAACATTTCAGCCAAAATTTCTAAACAAACATTATTATTATGATAATTTTCACAAGTTAAGTGGCACAGAGGGCAAAACTATCTGTGGCAAATAAACAAAACAAACAAACAAACAAAAAAAATTGAAACTAAATCTCCATCAGTTCCTGTTTACATACAAACTAGCATTAGCAATGTATCACAGCTGGCTACCACAGGAAAGTAGCAGTGATGGGGTTGTTTACGATCCATTTTGTAGTTTTTGACATCTAGAGAATGTTTAAGCAGATAACTATTGTGATGGCATAAATAAGTAGTTTTAATACTAGTGTTAGAAAAAAAAACTGCCTCAAAAAATCAGTGAAAAACCACTTATAGTAAATGTATCTCTATTCATGGGTTGAAACATTACACCATCCAAAGGTTTGTAAGGCTGTGAAAGCTGAAGCTGCTGTGTTACACTGTTGAACAGGAAGAACATTATGCAAAACTTTATTAAGCAGAAGATAATATCTGTAGTTGCATCCAGCTTCATCTTCCTGTTTTCTATTTGTGACCTGTGCTGTTGTTGATTAGACCGTAAACGTATTAGAAGCATATCGGAACAGGATCACAAGGGCAACATAAATAACAACCATACCCAAAATACACCTACTGGCAAAAACAATGTACACAAAGTCAAGTACAACTGAAAAATAGTCAGACTTGGAGTCTGACTATTCATCATGTTCACGATGAAACCCATCAAATTCCTTTAATTGGTGGCAAGTACTTTGATTATGCATAGAGATCACATGCCTACTAGTGTGTTTACTCCAAAGGGCACTCCAGGCATGTATTGCGGAAGACTCCTGTGGTATTTAGCACCTAGATGTTGGCAAATCCTGAATCATATTTGCTTCGGGATAGGAAACATTATCCCTTATGAAAGAGGCCATAATCCGCCAGGGAATGTTGTTTCCATGAAATCGTGTACATGGTCTGAAACAATGCTTTTGTGGGTCATATGTGTCACACCCAGATGGAGTAAGCGTGCCCATTTCTCCAGCCTCTAACACGTTAAAACATTTACCGGGAGTTGAGGAGCAGGCAACATTATGCAGAGTCTTACGCTCTTCATCTGTCAGTGGTCTATGTAATAATATTCTTTCACATAGGTTGGCCAATCCAAAAATGTCTTACTTGTGACTACATGTGAATAATTAAAAATATATTGGGATGAAAGATCTTCATTAACAGTATTCTCCACTATCATCGGTACTTTTGTAATGAGTTAACTGTCTCATTTCCTTCTTCATTTTTAATGACTAATTTTGGGCTTTGAGAAGCTTGATGTGCTGCTATACATCGTCTATAAGTACCTCTAAGTGGTCATATATCTAGTAAACATTTAATTGGGGAGTAGGTCAGGATGCTGTGAGTCAGATAAACTTTAAGCGTTTATCTTGCTGAGGTGAAGTAATTTTCATTAGTGCAAACAGAGTGTCTGCATTGTTTAGCATGTACCTGGATCTTTCAGGTACAGATTTTTATTTTTATTTTTGGAAGTTGGTATTTGAGGATTCTTGGTTGGAAATGCAACAAGAATATAACCTAAAGCTGCAGTTTCAGATTTAAAAAACTGGAGGTCCCCAAACAACTCTGAACTCAACGTAAGGACAGAGAGCATCCCAATGCATATTGAACACAGGGAAAGTTGGAGGCATTAGATTTTGTTAGCAGATTTAAATGTCTTTAGTACTGTAAACCCCGATTTGTAAACATGTTCCTTTGTTGTTCAAATTTATAAAGCACTCACTCACTCACTCACTCACTCACTCACACACACACTGTGTCCCTGCTTGTGTGCGTGGCCCTGTTTCGTGTTTGTTCTCACGCTGAGCTCCAAGCAGAGGGCTGCCCCTGTGCGGATTGATCCCGAGGGCGTGTTCACTGCGTTTGTTCAGCACACAAACAGACAGACGCAGAGCGCACTCTGGAAAACTTTTCCCTGCACTTCTCCCAAATGGAACAGGTGGAAGCTGTCAGATAAGGTAAAACATATTTTCACCGTATTTTATGCGTATGAATGTGCTTATTTATTTTTACTTTTATTTTTTAAAGAAGTTGGTGAGGAAAGAAATTAAATGTGAGAACGAGGCGACAGGTGTCTCCACTCACGTCGTTTTTATGAGGATGAAAATCCTGCTGGAGCTATCTTTTTTTTTTTTTTTTTTTTTTTTTTTTTTTATAATGAAACAGTAAAGATGACAATACGCTTAATAATGTATTTCTTATATACTGTTTAAAAAACATTTAAGCAATTTGAAGGGAGATACTAGACGAGAATAATCAAAAGAGCACAGGCTGTTGAGCATAATGGAAATAGTGGGTGTTGGCGGAAACTTTATTTTTGTTTCCTATTTGTTTCCCAGACAAACAGTTTGCGCTTGCGCAAATTAAACACAGGTAACACACCCACCAAAAACACCCACGCACATTTAAGATTAAGCGTTTTGGACAAGATAAGTTGCTAAACGTTTCAGCATAAGTTAACTCGAGGGCAAAACTACATGAGCTCTGCTGATGCAATGTCTTAATTTATGTTGTAAAGTGTTGCTGACCAGTAGATAAAATATACTGTAAAGTGTGATCGGGAGGGGATGAAAGCCATTGCAGGTTGGAGACACAGCATGTCCACTCGCCCACTGATGCCCATAAATCACATGAAGGGGAAACGACTTCAAAGACTTGTATTTTGATGTGGCATGAGGGTTTGAGTTGCAGGTTTTTTTCAGTAAATATGAAGTGGTATTTCACTCAGTTTCAATATTGTTGTTGAATGCTATTCATGGTCTTTTGCATAAATGAGGATAATCCAGCTTTTGTGAGCTGCCACAGAGAGAAACCTGGGTTAGTATTGGCGACAATTTCCTCCCGGATCACTTTCCTTTACAAATGGCAGTCTGGTTTTTAACAGAGCATTGTTCGGTAGCACCAGGATGAAGATCCTTGTGTGTTTATTCAACTGCCAACTGTATGCAGCTCCTATTTCCAGTGAAAGAGATGCGCAGGGATTTTTGTCAGACTATATAAAACACATATATGTTTGTAAAAATATTGGTGTAGATCATTTTTGAGGTTTTTCATTTCACCCCGGATGTGCGATGGGAGCATAAGATGGTGATTAATCTGTACAACCGGTTGTTGTTCTCCTCCTATTAAAGGCTATTAAAGAGAACAACACACCACCATGATGTGGGACGACCCCTCTGTGTTAACCCAGAGTTTACAGAACGGTCATCTGAACTTGGGCATCTTTCGCTTGGACACAAATCTGTTTGATTTCTTGAACAAGCCCTATGAAGCCCAAACAGGACACGATGCCATTCCTAACAGGTAGCGCTTATTTGCTTAAAGATAACATCATCTCTTTCCCAGGATGGCTGGGCAGCGGGTTGACTCAACTCTCGACCTGAGCCACCTGACGGAGGAGGAGCAGTCCTCCATCCTGCAGGTCCTACAGCGAGACTTGGAGTTACGTCATCTCGATGAAGGTCGAGTAAGGTCAGTTGGAGGTGATTATTTTCCAAGGGGTCACATTTGGTGCATTAACTGAAAGCAAATCTGCAAGTTTATAAGGATTGTTCTCCAAAGGATTAATGGCTCTGGTAGTGGACGGGGGAACTGTTTCTCCATAATCTCTAAGTATTGGACAAAGCTCTTGTTATTAATAAAGGTCACAAACCCTTTAGTCTGTTTGTTCAATGTTTTTGGGTGTAGACATGAACACACATGTCTAAAACATAAAGATTATTTAGTTGTAGATTAAATTTATATATATATATATATATATATATATATATATATATATATATATATATATATATATATATATTTTTATATTTTATATATTTTTTATCTCAAAATATA